ACTATAACACACAGTATTTTGTCAGTGTATATGGATTCATGAACTGGAATAGACATGGCAACGTCAGCCAATGGGGACTGTTTGTGACTGAGACACAGGATTTGTTGCAAGAGGGCTTGGAGCCTGGGCGTGGCTCAGCTTAACTGTTCTGTGTATAAAAATAGTTCTAGTGTGCTAGTTCTTGTACTTGCTACTTCTTCTCTCCATCATGTTGCAAGAGCAGCATGGGTATTATATACATGCATCATGTTTTATATTATTGTATATATAAAGAAGTTTCTTCTACATAATGAATCCTGCTGAATTATTTCTTTGTGTGCTGGCTGGATTGCTACAAACTCCAAAATATTTATCTTCATTTCTTCTATTCTTTGGCTACAACATGGTTCAAGATGGAAATGCTAAATATGATGGTTTCATGGTCCTACTTTAATAAGATATCATGAGAGAATATAGATTGGCAACAGCTATACATTTTAGGGTAGTTTTACAAAAAGCTAAAGATTATACTTCATGAATCAGTAAAGATTTAAAATATAAACCATATTTCCATTTTTTGAAAAATAATGATTAAAATCTCACCTTGTAAGTTTCACCATTTTAGCCTTTGTTATTGTAAAACCAGAATTAATAATCATATCAATAACTTCTCCAACTCTGAGTCCTACATCTGGTTTTAATAATGCCAAGGTTCTATTATCAGATTTAAATGAGAAATTTAAAAAAAAAATTAGCTTATGCATCAACGTTACTAAGACAGGAAAACATAATAATATCAATTATCATTATGTGATCATTCCTAAGTACCCAGATAGATAATGAAAATATTTGGCCCAAACATATCAGTAATAAAATGAGTTTTGAAACAAGAAGTTGCACAGGAACAAATAATGAGGGTACTTGTTTAGACATTGCTGTCCTTTTGTCCTCTTCAGATTCTAGTTAGAGAGGAAAGGGAACTTATGTTAGGCAAATAAAGGACCCATGTAAAGTAGCTATATATTAGGAAGGACAGGAAGAAATATTACTGACCCAAAGTAGGGCAGGTAGAGTAGCTAATTATACTTTTGCAATATTGTTTTTAATATTCTCATACTGCAAAATGGAAAGATATTCTTATGGGGAGAGGTGCTGGTTCTTCAACAGCTTAAATGAAATCCAGCAGATTTTTTTTTTATCCTGTCACCCCCATTATCCCATGAACATGTTCCTTTGACAACTGCAATATAACTGGAACTCTTGGACTATAGAGCAGTTAAGGAAGAAAATTATGCCTTTAGTATTTTCTTTTGTCAGAAACTCAGAAAGCAAACAATTGGTTGAAATTTTATTTATGTTAGTATCTGGATTATGATACTTGGAGGGGGGGATATGCCAGAATTGGTGTGACAGAGAAAAAGAAGAGGAAGCAATGTCCCTAACTAAGTGTGTAATCACTATGGGAAACCAGCAGTACGTTTGTTTGGGGTTTTTTTTGTGCTTTTCTAAATTTTCCCTGAGGAAATCAAGTAGTTCAAGCACCATGGTCAGCTCCAAGCCAGATAAACACAGCCAACTCAAAAAAACTCCACAATAAAGGCTTAGTTTTAACAAATTTCCTGAGGATTAAGCAGGATATTTAGCGACAATACAAGTTTCTAAAGATTTGTGTAGGTCAGAAGATACTCACAGCTGACCTGAGAACCAATCCCTTCTACCTCTCGTGTCATAAGTTGGCTAAACCACTGAACAAGAACTACCCTGAAGTTAAATAAGAAAGGAGTTTACTGGAGACTTTTGTTCTTTTGTTTTTCCCTGGGAACAGTAGTGAGGAATGAAGGAAAGAAAGGAAGCTAAGCCACCACTCAAATTATGGGATGAAATCATCTAAGATGCAAAAAGACTCTAGTGTATACAAACTTTTAGATCTAGAAACTATACAATTTCATTTTTTATATCTCAAAAGAAATGCCAGATTAATTTTAGTTGTTTTTTTTTCTCAGAGGCTAAGCTGCCATTTTAGATGACCCTATCCATTGTTCCTCTGTTGCCTCTCTTCCTTTTTAAAAAAATCCTAACACATATTTTCTTTGTTAATTAAAGAGTCCCCTCTCTTTCTAGCTATAGAGGTAGTTGACTATAACAGTTCATTTAGTGACCGTTCGAACTTACAATGGCACTGGAAAAAGTGATTTATGACCATTTTTCACATTTACGACCACTGCAGCATCCCCGTGGCCATGTGATCAAAATTCAGATGCTTGGCAATTGACCCATGTTTATGACAGTTGCAGTGTCCCAGGGTCATGCGATTCTCTTTTCCGACCTTCTGACAAGCAAAGTCAATGGGGAAGCCAGATTCAATTAGCAACCGTATTACTAATTTAACAACACTTAATAACTGTAGCAAGGAAGGTCGTAAAATAAGGCAAAACACTCCTAACAACATAAATTTTGACACAATTGCAGTTGTAAGCTGAGGGCTACCTGTACTTTAAAAATCTCTAAATGCTAGTTACCACATACTTTTAGTACTGATTTGTATTTTAGAGGATAATCTGGCATATTAATTTGATGTCAGTAATGCCACATTGATCAATAATATGTTGATACTAGTAAATATCTTGATCAATAATTCTAATGAAGCCAGTGAATCACATGTGTACATTATTTCTCTTCTATTTTAACAATTTGATGTCAAATTTTTTGAAGAGATATTTGTTATTACTTATGTTGTTGTTATCCACATTGCCAAATGTGGAAATTAGCAAATGTCATCAAGAAACCTAGTTTTCTTCCTTTCCAAAAATATTTTCAACAGTGCTAAAAAAACTATTTTGCCATTTGCAGCTCGCTCTTAGTTCTTTCTGAAAGAATTTGTGACTATTACTATAAGTTAGTAAGAAACACCAACACAAAAGAAAACACAGGTTTTCTTTTTCTTTTTTAAAGTAAACATATTATTAATAATACATTGGAGTATATATAAAAATAATACACAAATATATTTTATACACACAAACACATTTTAATTACATTAACTAAGAACTTGAGAATGAGTACTAAAAATAAAAATGGCTTTGTCATACATCAGTAAATTTAGATTCAGACGAAAAATAATCTTCTGCATTGTTGTAGTACTGCTATCTTTGGGGGGGTAGTTACTGTATGTAATTTTCCAGCTTATTTGCCATTTTAACACAGGATCTTAATTCTTTATGTTTCAAGGTGCTGTTTGGATTATCCTAAAACTTAGAACAGCCAACTTAGGCTCTATGACAATAGTCTGAGTTATAACAGATCCAATATGAATACTTTTGAACATTTTAATTGTAAGCCCCTGACAGTAAATAAGATATAACCACACAAAGTTAAAGCAGCAGAAAAGTATATGAAAAACAAGACACGATTATAACAAAGCTTTTTTTTTTTATGTTCACATACTTGGTTCCAGTTTTTCTGGGGACCAATTTAATATAATACCCTTCTCTATTTTCCCTTTCATCCATCAGAAAAACCAATGCCTGTCATTCTTGTATATGACTCATTAAGTGAAGTACGTTGATTAAATTAACTTACAAAATTGAATATTCCTCAGAAGCTCAGAAATAGCACTTTCTCACCTTTCTTTGCAACTGCCCAACAAGCGAGAGGTGTATTGATCGGCATAGTCTACCAAATTGAGGTGGCGTGAAAAAATAGTAATTCTGTTGCCCACAAAGAGATCTTTAAAATTCAGATCTTCATATTTAGTGCGATTCAAGAATTTGGAGCGATTCTTCATGTCATACTGAAGAGTAAAAAAAATAGCTGTTTTAAATTTCTTGGTTTTTTTAAATTAAAATATATAACATTTCAATAAAATCCAGTCAAATGTTGGATATTGAATTCCTACTTGATGCATATAGAAAAAAATCCAGAAAAGGCCATAGAATAGAAGGTGGAATAGAACATCCCCCTCTGCCTTTTTCATTTTCTGTTGGCAAAAACGTGACAACTTTTCAGATTTCTGTTTAAAATCACACATAGGTTAATTTTTTTTTTTAACAAATCATGTTTCCTAGTTACCTGCCTAATTTGTTGGTTCTCATGTAATTTGTCACATTTTAAGCATGAACCTTTGGGATACTGAGCCTCTGATGACCATTAAATTTGTTCATGAGATGAATTAAATATATAATTACGCTATAACAACTGAAAAGGAGCTAGTGTAATGTAGTAATTAAAACATTGCACAGATGCCAAAGACCCTCAAATTCTAGTCTACTGTCTGGTATGGAAACATATAGGTGATTTTGGGGTTGAGATTTCAAGCACTATATAAAGGTTGAGATAAAACTTTAACAAAAAACACATTGGCAAATCCAGTTCCATTTGTATTAAACAATTCTACAATTGTTATATTGATGCCATTTTGGAGATCATCTCATCCAACCACCCACTCAGCACAGGATGCACTGGAATACAGCCAACATATGGTCACCCAGCCTGTCTGAAGGACTCAACACTTTTGTGTAGCAATTAGTTTTTCCTGCCCTCAAGCCTCAACTTATGGTATTTTTTGAACTATAAGACATTCCAGACCATAAGACGCACGTAGCTTTTGGGGAGGAAAACAAGAAAAAAAAAATCTGACTCTGCCTCCCAGCAATTTGCCTCCTTACAGCAAACAGTCTGGTCAGCTTCAGCACAGCCTGATTTAGCACAAGTAGCTGATTGGCAGTTCGATCGGCTTCCCGGAATACCACCAATCAGCTGTTCCAGGCTGCAGGGATCACCGCTGCCCATCACCGCCACCACATATCACCGCCTCCGCATGCCCCATTTTTGGCCTTCGTGCTTCCTGTTTTCGGCCTCCACGCATCCTGTTTTTGGCCCGTTCCAGGTGGCAGAGATTGATCCAACCGCCAATCAGCTGTTCATGCTAAATCAGGCTGTGCTGAAGCTAACCAGGCTGTTTGCTACAAGGAGACAAATTGCTGGGAGGCAGAGACCGAAGAGTGGGGGCTGGCGGGTGGGCAAGCTTCAGCAACATTCGCTCTATAAGACACACAGACATTTCCACCCACCTTTTTTTTGGACGGGGGGGAGTGTGTCTTATAGTACAAAAAGTACGGTACTCCCTGGTAGGTTTAACCCACTGGTTTGATTGTATGGGATAATTGACAAAAGTCAATTTCCTCCTTCTACATTGTTATCAAGTCACCACTCAATCACTCTTCTTAGCCTATGTTTTTTCTTACCTTCTGCTTGCCTATCCTACGATGCAGTTCTTTCCCTGCTAATGATAATTAGCTGGGGCTCTATTTTATTTCTAAGAAAAGTCAGGTGCAAAATAGGACTTAAAAGTTCTGTCTTCTCATCCAATACCAATTCGCCACTATGTCCTTGCAATGGCCCTTTATTCTGTTTGCTTTTCCTTTATTTTCTTACACTGCACGCATTACACAGTTTATAATGAAGTTTCTCTCCTGTGGGCTCACATTTCACTATTATTTGTCATTTCTTTTGATGATTATTGCAAAAGTTTCAATCCATTTTCAACTGCTAACATCTCTGAAAAACTGTGATATTAATACAAACATGTATATATAACTCACCTGTTCATCCTGAATTATTATTAATCTATTTAAACAAAAATACATGTTGAGGTAATTCCCCATCAGGAGAATGAGCACATACAGGGAGACGTAGTGAGAGTAATGTTGAATAACACACACACAGCACACAGATATACTGTACAGTAAATGTAGGTTTTTACTGCCAATAAACGTTTAAGCACAGTCCAAGATAAGCAGTCCAACTCATTTCACAGGTAAATCAGTCAGTGTTCAGTTCAGGGATAATCCAAATATCAAAGTCCAGTATCAAAAAACAGTTCAGTTATCTCCCTTAAAGGTTACTACATAACCAATATTAACTAAAGCCCTTACTGATAATAAATTAAATTTCAGTTTAGGTACATATAACATAGTTAAATGCTCAGTTACACAAGAACAATAAGCAGTACCTTCACCAGACGCTTTCATCTTCCATCCATCTGCCAATGATACATGTTGCTTACTCGTAGACATCTTTATAAACCTCTCTCTATTTTCAGTATAGGCAGTTGACGACAAATCCTCTTCTTGTGGTTGTTCCTTTCTCAGTTGGTCCCTATCCAGTCATCTTCTTGCTTCTTCTAACAATCGTCCGGTTATGTCAGTCAATGCCAGTTTATCTCTGGGCAGGACTTCCAGTGAAGATATGTAATCATCATAACTTTCATCCAATGAGGAAAGAATGATGTAAACTTGATGCAGCTCTGAAAATATCAGTTCCTTTTCATGTAGCTCTTGAAAAGTTCTTTTCATGAAGTTCAAATGAACTAATGTTCAAATGAAGTTCAAATGAACCTTTCAGAAGACGTGCTCTAAACAGTTTACATGTAAGATATATGTGTGCACCTACACTGTCACGAACATAAATCCTCTTCAAATTCTCCCAACACCTAGCAGCAGACTCTTCTCCACGAATATAGACTAGCTGCTGGTCACTCAGTGTTAGTCCAATTATACAAAGAGCTCATTCGTTGATCTGTTTAAAGTCAGCAAGCTTCTTGGGATCATCCTCATTTTCTGGATCCCAAGCATTTGTATCCGGTGGATCTTGAACTGCATTCCATAACCCTTCTCTACGCAGAAGTAGACTGGACTTTAGGAAACATAGTTTGTTCCATCCAACCGAGTTATCAGTGATAGACTTGTTGAAGTGTCTTGTGCCATCTTTACCAGGTTAGTAAACCACAATTAAACAGTAAACAGCTGTCTATATACGTTACTGTGTATTCACACCAACTCTCAGTTATTTGAGCCTGGTATGGCCTGGGCCCATAACCAGTGTTGAGGTAATTCCCCGTTAGGAGAATGAGCGCACACAGGGAGACGTAGTGAGAGTGGTGAAGAATAACACACAAATAGCACACAGCTACACTGTATAGTAAAATGTAGGTTTTTACTTCCAGTAAAACGGTTAAGCAAAGTCCAAACAGAGTCCAAGTCATTCACGGTTAAAGCAGTCAGTTTTCAGTCCAGGGATAATCCAAAATCAAAGTCCAGTATCAAAAACAGTTCAGTAACAGACTTACATCAAATCCAAGAAGAACTATGATCAGTCAATAGTCAATAAGGAACAGCAACACTCTCAGCAACAGAACAGGACTAAACAACCAGGTTTCTGGCTCCATCTTATGGCCATTTGAGGAACCACACCCAATTACAGTTTTAGCATTATCTTAAAGAAACAGTATTAAAATGTCTATCCTGGTTTATATATTTTCCAACCCAAATATTAGGTGACTTACATTCCTAACACTAACAATAAAAAATAATCTAGATTACATGTTTAAAAATTGTAATATATTTTGCATGAAAAAATAGTATTTTGTAATGCAGAAAACCAGATAAATATTATTAATCTATCCTTACTCATTCCCTTTTCCCATTATTCAATTTTATTTCTTGAACCGTGTTTCTCACAAAATAAGGCCGGGCCTTTTTTTTTTTTTTGACCCCCGAAAAAACGGCTAAGCCGTCTTTTCGGGGGTGACTTAATTTCCTCCCCAACCTAGAGCCGCCCATATGGATGTAACTCGCCGCGAGGCTGCTTCTATCGGCCAACGAAAGCTCCCCGAAGGCAGAGTCCCCAGCTGCTTCGGGGCGTGGCGTGGCTGCCCGTGTCCCCTCGCCATTAGGCAGTCTCTTTCGGGCAATGGAAGCTCCCCAAGTGCAGTCACCAGCCACTTCGATCGGCCAGTAGAAGCGGCCTCGGGGCGAGGGAAGTGTGTGTGTGCGCTCGCCCCAAGGCCGCTTCTAACTCCTAAAGGCAAGTTTTCTCCCCACCCCACCCTGCCCTTCCCCCTCATTTCTCTTCACCTCGTGTAGTTCTAACGAAGGATGTGAGAAATGGCGGGGAAACGCATGGATTAAATAGGCCTAAATTTTGGGGGCGGGGCTTAATTTCACCTCATGCCTAGAAATCATGCTGGGCCTTCCTATTGGTGGAGGCCGTATTGTTGGAGAAACACAGTATTAATTTTACTTCCTACCTTGTATTATTTAGGTGAATTTATCTGAATTATTAAAATTTTATTCATAGGTTCTGTTTTATTTTCTTCAAGAAAATTATTATTTTTTAAAAAAAATTTATTGCTAAGTATATTTTGAGAAGCCAACCATGGTTTATTCAATAATCCCTCATTATATAAATGATACATTGTGGTAATAAACTAATCCATCCCACTTGCCTTATGCATATTTTTAAGCGAATAAGAGCTATGCAGATCATATGCATGTACACAAATAAACATACAAAATGCACCAATTCAATAATCCAAGTTCTGATCAGTAGCAAACTCATTAATATTTAACAGGGGGAGAAGAAGAGCCAAAAATTAGATAAGCAAACTTTACATACTAATCCTGTATAACAGGTAATATTTAACTTATGAAAGGAAGTATGTCATGGGATTTCATCTCCATGATTATAGAAAAGGCCTCTGGAAAAGATGGAAATAGAGGAAACAAACCTAATGGCTAAGTGGATTATCTCAAGTTATCTCGAGCAATATTGTTCAACCTGCTCTTATTTGTTGGAAAGCTTCATATTTTTCCCAATTAATATTCTACTGAGTAGAATACAAACTCATACTCAGTTTTTCTCAACGACATTCTTTCTTTGTATGAAAATATATTGCAATTATATATAGGTTTCTGAAAAGAGGAAATAATGTCATATTCTTCTTCTACATTATGCAGTTCTTAGGCAAGGAAAGCAATTCTTCTGTTTCTGGTGTAACATGAAATCCATTTTTATTTTTTTTGGAACAAATTTTATTGATTTTAAAGACAAACAAACCATCATTAACCATTGAATACATAAAACCTCTTTCCATTATTAATTTTACAAGTCAAGTAAAATATTATTTTATACAGCATAATTCTGTTTTACACCATTTCGATATGGACATATAAATATCTCTTAGCAAATTTCTCATTGTTTCTCTTTTCGTATTCAATTTCATTATTATTATTATTATTGTCTATATTTATCCAGTTTATAATCATCATCTACATTTAACATGAAATCCATATTATTGAAGTTTATAAAATACTTTTAAACAAAATAATCTTACCATTTCCACTGATCCGTCTGTAGGGTAATACAGAAGCTCATAGCGCCGAAAAAGTGAAGCAGTTGGATCATACCATTCTGCAATGAAAGCAAATCTTTCCTCTTGGTTCTAAAAAACAGAAGTCAAATGTATGGATTTTGTAACAAGTTCAGAATAGACAATATGTTCAATATATCTTTCACTAACACCTGATGTAACAATGCTGTTTAGCTATTTGTGATAAAAGATATCAAGATTTGTCAACCTGGCATCAAAAGCTGGAATTTTAAATAAGGACCATTACTTTTTTAAATGTTTCTCCAAAAGTATGGAACATTTCACTATCTTCATTGACAGCTATTGCTATTCATGTACAACAGCATACCAGTGATTAGCTAGACATTGTAGTATAAAATCAAGGCAGATGCCCATAAAATACATATTTTATTAATTTTATACTTATCTTTTCAACTTTTCTAAGAGTTCTAGAAAACTGTACTAAGCATTGCCACAGGTCTAGACAACAATGACAAAAGTTTCCTGACTCTATTTATGGGATTTAGTTTAAGAACATGCCCCAGAGAGTGCGCGTGTGCGCGCGCGCGCGAGAGAGAGATACATATATATATATATATATATATATATATATATATATATATATATATATATATATATATAAATTAGAGAGCTTCATACTCTCAGCTTCTCCAGACTATTTAAAATTCAGGGATTAATCAAATATTGCGCATTTAAAAATCCAGTATTCGAAAGCAGCTGATGACTCACAGAGACAATTGTCAGCCAGTCATTTTCTAAAGCTCAAAAGAACACACAGTATGTATTATCTGTGGCTCACTGAAGACATAACAGTTGCTAAGAGAGCTTTTCTGTCCAAGAAGCAGCTTGTATACTTTTCCCACTGCTATAAAAAGGCAATAAGTCAAAGATGTATTCTTTTCTTATTATATCTACAAAATGATTGTAGGATAGATTTGAGATGATGATATGAATTGTCATAAAACAAATTAAGTAAAATATGGATTATTTTGTAAAACATGAATGAATAAAAGTATAGTCAAATGATTGATTAACAATGATATTAGTGTATTTAATATTTGATTGAAAATATGAGAATATATACAACGTAATTGTAATTGAAGATTATGAAATGAAAGCACAAAACAATTTGTAAACCAACCGACACACTGTATGTATATATATGGAAGATGGCTTTATGTTTTTATGTTTTGTTTGTCTATGTTTGTCTTAAAAACCAATATTTTTTTTAAAAAAAAGGCAATAAGTCATTACCAACAGAGATTGAATGAAAGATGTTACATCTATTTACCACTATAGACAGAAATGAATGGATTCAGTACTTACCACTAGCTGTCTGAAGGCTCATACTTTAAAACTATAGTTTAAAATAACAGTCCCCAACCCTTTTCACGGTACTGACCAGTTTTGTGGAAAACAATTTTTTCACAGACCGGGGAGGGGGATGGTTTCAGTTTCACTCGCTCACCTGTCACTCACTTCCAGATGTGCGGCCCAGTTCCTAACAGGCCATGGACCGGTATCAATCCACGGCCTGGGGGTTGGGGACTCCAGGTTTAAAAAGTATTTTCAAATGAGACGCTTACTTTACTTTATTTATTGTATAAAATTGCATCGTCCATTTATATCAGCTTATATTTTTCTATTAAAGACTAGCACTTTTTCTAAGCATAAATATCCAGGTAGGAAATAAAATAGAACAGGGCAGATTTTTTTACCCATTTAGATGGGAGAATGCATCACTGAGGAAGAGTGTGGGTTGGGAATCCTATGGAAATGGAATATCTTCTCCTTTTATCAATTTTGGTATAATTCTAGATGTAGAGCTATTTGCATTCTGCGAAGCAAATATTTATTTCCTTTCAAGATCCAGTGAGTAGTCCTGAATAGGATCTAGCAGTAATACTATAATATTCTTATTTATGTTCAAATTTTATTACTGTACATTGAAATGGGACAATTCCAAATCATATATAAGCTGTCTATATTTTTCAAAAATATGAAAATCAATCTAAAACTGTACTGTATACATTTTGTCAACTTCAATATATGCCTTCCTCCAGTAGAAAACATAGGCAACGCAGGGATGAACATAAGAGATAAACCCTTTTCTCAAACCATTTAAATACATAACCAAAAGTAAGGAAGAAAACAAACAACCCAGAGCAGCAGCCACCAACCTTTTGGGCACCAGAGATCTATTCTGTGGAGAGGGATTTTTCGTGGACCAGAGGGGGCGTGGCTTCATGTGCTGCTTGCATCCAGCGGATGGGGCTTCAATTGTTTGCGCAGCCCAGTTTCTGGCATGCACCAATGCTGGTGCATGGATCCAGGCTTGGGGACCCCTGACCCAAGCATTTTCTAAGATAAGTACTAAGATAAACAGCAAATACACCAAACAAAGCTCTCAACAAGGAACTTCAAAGAAGATGATCTATCCCAACCAAGAATGGCAGAGCAAATTACTGTATGTAAACAATATAACTCTGAAGTGCACTGATATTACTGCTATGCCCTTTTTTAAAAGCTCATGTTATATTGTTGATATTTTGTCTGTTTCCATTGCTTTGATACTCTCAGGTTGTTTTACAGAAAGGCCATTAACGTACAGTACCTTTGAACTGTGAACAATAAGATAAATATCTTTAAATCAGGTAATTGTAAAATACACACACAAGCACAATTAGAACAATATAACTTTTACCCTTTCCTTCTCAGAACTCCTCAAAATCGCTCATCATTCAGTCAATTATTTAGAAAAGGTGTGTGCCAAATGAGAATTTGTAAAAATAAAACTAATTAGATTTTTTTTAAAATTACTATGATATTTGAAAAGCAGACATTAAATTCTATGCATAACAACAGTCCCATGTTAGGGTCAGGGTTAGAAGCTTGTGGAACTAAGCAGAGTTTCTTGCAATGCATTACCACTGCCAGAGTAAAGCTTTCCTTGTGGTTGAACTTTTCTTACATTTAGAATGACAATAATATTTTAACTCTTATTCTTTCAGTATATTTCAATTCACGATTAAAAGGATGTAATACAGGATGCATCAATCAACCACATTCCAATAAAAGAAACAATATTTTAAATTATTTAATTTGAATTTGTGTTTCAAAGGCAGGAGAAAGAAAGGGGGAGAAAGAGGGAGAGATTTTTTTTAATTGGGGACAATTAAAAAAACCTAGTAAGTTATCACAATTGTGTAAATGAGAAAATTCTTTGAAAAATAATTTGTAATATATGCTTTAAAGCTGAATAGCAAGTGCACTATATCAAAGAAAAATGTTCAAGACTTTGCAAAGCCTGGAAGTCTATCAAATATAATTGAGTTTGAAGCAATCTGAAGGAACTTGATTCAAATTGAAAGCATGAACTTTCTTGAAATCAAATCATTCATTTGTAAGGGCCTAATGTACTTAATAATATATTACTTCATTTACATCCACTTTTTCACAATAAAATTGCATTCAAAGCAATTTACAATCAGAATTTTTTTCATTCCCAAATCAAGGCAACTATACCACATAGCCTTATAAATATATTCTTGAACTCCAATTAAAAACAACTGGAAGCTGTTACATTAAAGGCTCTGCACTACACCCACTTTAATTAATAATAAGTAGTCCTTAGCTTAAAAGCATTCATTTAGTTAGTGACCAGTCAAATTTACAAACAAACTGAAAAAATTGATTACGACCAGTCCTTGCACTTATGGCCGTTGCAGCCTCTCCACAGTCGCTTAATCAAAATTTGGGCACTTGGCAATTAGTATGCATTTCCTATGGTTGCAGTGTCCCATTGTCACGTGATCACCATTTGCAATCTTTCCGGACAGCTTCTGGCAATCAAAGTCAATGGGGGAATCCACATTTGCTTAATGACCACTTGATTCATTTAACAACTTAGTTACTCACTTAACAACCCTTTTGCTCAGTCATTCAAGCCCTAGTCATCTCATGTTTGGACTACTGCAATGCACTCTACGTGGGACTACCCTTGAAGAGCATTCAAAATTGTGGCAGTGCAGGCAGTTCTTAGGGCTGCCAGAGTGGGCCATGTTACACTGCTCCGCCAGCTGCACACATTGCTGGTTTACTTCTAAGTTCAGTTCAGGGTGTTGGTTATTACCTTTAAACCCCTGCAAGGCAAGGATACAGGTTAGTTGAGGAACCATCTCAACCTGATGGTATTAGCCTACCCTCCACCTGTGCCAGCAGAGGAGACATATTGTAGATCCTGTCAGCTCTGGGATCCAGAAGAGCGTTCTCTGCTGTGGCTGCCTTTTGGAATACGGCTAGTCCTTGACTTACAACCACAATGGACCCCAACATTTATGTTGCTAAGTGATAAATTTGTTAAATGACTTTTGCCCCATTTTACGACTTTTCTTGCCACCACTGTTAAGTGAATCATTGAAGTTGTTAAGTTAGTAACCCCGTTGTTAAGTGAATCTGGCTTTCCCATTGTCTTTGCTTGTCAGAAGAATGCAAAAGTTTATCCCATGACCCTGAGACACTGCAACCATCGTAAATATGAACCAGTTGCCAAGCATCTGAATTTTGTTCACATGACCGTGGGGATGCAGCAAGCAATCACAATTGTGAAAAATGGTCATAACTCACTTTTTTCTGTGTTATTATCATTTTGAACGGTCACTAAATGAACTGTTGTAAGTCAAGGAGTACCTGTATCTTACCCCCTGAGGTGAGATCAGCTCCCACACTTCTGACCTTCCCCAACAGCCTTAAGACCTAACTCTGTCAGATGTCTTGGGGGCCCAACAGAAAAGTATCACACTGGAGATGGTTGATTAATTAAGAACCAGTCCATCTCCCTTCCATCCAGTTCCCTTCTTCCCTATCTTGTAACTATGATTTTATTTGATACCGTGTTTCTCATATAATAAGGCTGGGTCTTAATTTTTTTTGAGCCCTGAAAAAATGGCTAGGCCGTCTTTTCGGGGGTGACTTAATTTCCCCCCCCCTTGCATCTTCGGGCGGGCAGGCAGCGACGGCTTGGATGTTGACCTCGGTGTTGGTGGGGCACTTCGTATCGGGGTCAACGCAGGCAGCACCATATCCGGGTGTGCAACAAAAGTACTTCCTAACGGCAAGCCCCCCCCCACCATTCCCCCCATTTCGCATGTTTTAATATAGGCCTTAATATGGGGGGAGGGGCTTAATTTCATTTCATGCCTATAAAACATGCTGGGACTTCCTATTGGGGGAGGCCGTATTGTTGGAGAAACAGGGTAGTTACTTTCATTTTATTGTGTTAGGAATGTTTCTCTCTGTTAATTTAAACGTTTTTATGCTGTGAGCCGCCCAGATTCGCTTTGAAATGAATTGGGCAGCAAATTAATTTAAATAAATAAACCAACAACTATGGCAAAAATGATTGTAAAATCAGACATGAGATTCATTTATCAACAACCTGGCTCAGCAGTGGAAATTCTGTTCCCACTTATCATCGTAAGTTGAGGACTAGAGAATTAATTTTTCTATTTATATTCCATCCCCTTTCGTTCCAAGCACTGTATTGTCCATAGTACCCATATTTTCAGGAACAGTTGAAGAAAACTCAAGTCGGGGAAACAGAAACACTATAAAAACGTGAAACAAAGAACTAATGATGGATAAAAATCAAGCCCAGTGTAATTAATTAAAAGCCACTATGAACAAAAAAGGCCTGCAAGGTCTGGTTAGAAACAGTTAAGATCTGAATGAAGTCAATGTAGCATATATAAAATGCACAAATGAGCCTTGAACTCAGTTTTCAAGTTCCCAATTGACTCTCAGCCAACTATGCCACAATCATTTTTGACGTCTAATACTTTCTAAACATAAGACAAGTACTACAGTTGGGTTCTCCTGGAAGTGCAATAAGGGTGAAAAGTGACCTTCAGCCAGCTGATACCAGCATGTGTTAGTGCTGAAGAATTTGAAAGGCGGTTCCAAAGAGCACACATTTTGCACTTACCTTGAACATTCTGAGAATATCATGGTCTATTAAAAATTTATTGCCTTGCTACAAAGAAGGAAAATGAGCTCAGCCAATCCCCTTTTTATTCACTGCTGGGAACATTCTGAGCCAGCATTCATTGTGTACTACAGTTTAACCAAACAGGCTCCTGATCAGTCTGTCATTAAAATTAAATGCTCCTTTTTACCTTGGATTGCGTAAAATATTAACTCTTGAGCAATTCAGCTGAACATCAGATTTCAGTTACCACAATGTTTGATGGCACGCCTGTAAAACTATTATCATAAAGACACATATCAGGTTAATATTGGAACAGGGGTGTGTTGGTTTTTCTAACTTATCTAATATCTTTAGAAAAGAATTATGCAAAAAAAAAAGAAAAGTAAAAATGGGAGGGCAAACAAGTACAAAGAGGATTTCAACTGGAATTCATAGCTACTTCTGGAACCAAGTACAGTGTGAGCTTACAAAAATGTAGTTAGGGTCTAGTTGTATATTCCTTGACGGGAGCAAATTCCGATGAACTAAATGGAGTTTACACTGAATATACTTGCAAAGATTAGAATTGTAAATCTTTTTAATTCAGATCAACTAATCAAATTAGCGATGCAAATAATCCCATTGTACAGCGTTATTACCTTTCTACTAACGCTGAAGCTGAATCACAATCCAATTCAGATGGATGAAGCAATGTCTATGTCTTTTCAATAGCACATACTGTTTGATGCTACCTATGAACATTTTAACTACTGCAACCATAGGATTTAGAACTGCAAGTATAAGGTGGCTGCCTAAACAGGGAATTAGTGTAAACTGTAGATCCAATTCTCCCATTTGTTCTGTTTAAAATCCAGTAGCAGAGACAGAGTGAAACTGTAGCAAACAATCTTGAATTGCAGGTGTTGGCCATCTTTTGGGTTCAAAGGACACAACTGAAATTTTATGAGTGGGTAATAATCTAACTTGATTTAACAAAATGGCTACATTGCAGACATGGACTTTCAAAAAAAAAAAAAAAAAAGCAAACTGATGAGATTATTTTCTGCCATCTCCTCTAATTCCTACTTTGTCTTTTTGCCATGTCTCTTCCATTAACAGTTTATCTTTCCCTTTTTTTTCTGGAAGAGGAGTTTATTGTCAAACAAATCCCTGGGCTGTAGCCCTTCCATTTTTTTCTCCTAAGAATTGCTGTAAAAACCTATATAAGGCAAAGAAGAATTCTTAGAAGAAAGTATGAACTATAAAAAAAATACTAAATATATACATAAAATTAAAATCAGGTTCTATAGGAAGCCTAGCAGACACCAAGAGGAATGATGCTGGATATGTCAATGTCCGCAGGCATCACACGTTCTGTTTTTCAATTATAGCCTATGATGCATTGCAAGTTTGTGAGTCACAGTAGTCTTACTCATCTTTAGCTTACCTAATTGTTCTAACTGTAGATGTCTGAGACTGAGCCCAGAAACATCTGCAGGTAGACTTCGACTTACAACAGTTCATTTAGTGACCCTTCAAAATTACAACGGCACTGAAAAAAGCAACTTATGGCTTTTTCAGAGTTACAACCGTTGGAGCATCCCCAGGGTCATATGATCCAAATTCAGATGGTGGCAACGGATTCATATTTATGAGGGTTGCTGAGTCTTGGGCTCAAATTATCAACTTTTGCTAACTTCTACAAGCAAAGACAATGGGGAAGGCAGATTCACTTAAAAAAACATGTGACCATCTTAACTGCAGTATTCATTTAACAATTGGGCCAGAAAGGTCATAAATGAGGCAAAATGTACTAGCCTTTCTTGCTGAGCATAGAAATTTTGGGCTCAATTGTAGTCATAAATCAAGGACTACCTGCATAGGCAAAACGCATGTTATCAAAGCAAGTAAAAATTCAATATGGCTTTTTGTACAGAGAACACAATAGTAAAAATACATAAACCTATACTTACTAATACAAAAAATAAGCATAAATACAATACTGTAAAATAAAGTCTTCATACAGTATGGCCCAAGGATTACAGAGGATAGTGCATTCAACTTGGCTTAAAATACTGATTACATACAGTTGAAAGTTCAATAATAATAATAATGTGTTATTATACATGATGCTACATTATAACAATATTATAGCACACTTAGGGAAAACTCTGTTAAATCACTGAAATTACATTTTCATAGCATGTTGGCTATCCTATGTTTCAACATTTTTTTTACAACAGCTTCAAAACCTCTAGAGGAAGAGGTATTTACAAATGATTCAAGTTAATATTCTTGTCAAAAGAAACCCTAATTAAATGCTGGCAATTTATGCACTTTAAAAAGAGTGCAGAAACCAGTAGAGAAATATCTTTGGCAAGCAAATAGCTCCACCAAGTGTACCAAAAACCCCTGACCTTATATTTAATCCTAATGCAATTAGGGAATGTGATTACTTACAATCTGCTTACCCCTTTACTTGGAAACAAATCCCACTTCATTCAGTGGGCTAGCAGGTATGCTGTGAAGAACATTTCAGCCTAAAATTTTAGCCCACAATTTTTAGACATGTTAATCTCTTGGCCATACATTTTCACACCTACCAACTTATTTAAAGTATTGAGTGATAAAGGAAAAATATTATTTAAATGTTTCTAAGTTTTTCTACAAACTTGCTCTGAAAATGCTGAAGGAGAATCCAATCTATTTTTAATTGCAGAGAATACCAACATTATCAATTGCTTTTTTCATTGATACCTTTTATTGATGGTTACTCCTCTCTTTCTAAATTAGGGGTCTCCAACCTTGGCAACTTTAAGCCTGGAAGACTTCAACTCCCAGAATTCCCCAGCCAGCAAAACTGGGAACTGAAGTCCTCCAGCCTTAAAGTTGCCAAGGTTGGAGAATCCTCTTCTAAATTATTCCTTTGTGGTTAAACATAACCCTGTTCTTGGGGAATTATGGATCACTACCAAGGCTGTTTACATCATGGAAAACTTATCTAGAGATGTAAAGAAGTTTACAATTAAAAATCCGTACTTAAAAATACCTTTCAAAAAAATTTGAAGAATGTCCATTACCACTTTCATATTATTTATTTTATGCATGATTTGAGTTTAAACAAAGCTCACAAAAACCAAAATGAAACAAGAGATTAGCTTTGCGATAGTCAGCTAGCAATATTTTATAACAGGTGATTTCAAATGCTGAAGGGCTGTGACCCACTAATATAATGAATCTGTGTGACTAAAACTGATGGACTGCACACTGCACTCTGACAGGGCTGCCATTATCTTTGCTCATCCAGGCAGAAAATGAGCACTGTCTGGTAGTGATCTGTAGAAGGCTAGCTCAGGAGCCTGCCACATAAAAAAGAGAGAGGTATTCTCAAGTGGTACAAGCAAATTTGGGGATGCAGACCCATTTCAGCAAAAAGACACCAAAAAGAGACTTTGATTAAACTGGCAAAGAACAAGTCTCTCTCTCTCTCTCTCTCTTAACAATCAGGGACTATGCAGACTATGTCCCCTGACTAAGCAGTGGTGTTATAAGATTGTTAGCTAGAGAAAAGCACTGGTTGTTGTTTGGTTAGCAGTTTTTCATGGAAGTTTCCGGGGTGCGGCTATTCAAGTGTGGCTCCCTGAGTTTTCCACAGAAGGAGCAACCTTGCCACCTAGTGACATTCCTCTAATCGACAGCACTTCCCTATCCAAAAGACCTACATACCCACTCCCACAGATGCTAACTGAGAAATCCTAGGGGTCCAATTTCTCCTGCATCATGGCACTACCATTCCATTAATCTTGCAAAGAAAGAGTTAGCAGTTAAAGCCTAGACAACCGAATAGCTGCTCCATATAGGACTCCATGGCAATGCAGTGTGGTATTGACAAGGTTGGAAGCTTCATTTTTACAGTAGCAGAGTCAAATTTCTCAGGCTAGGGAGCCCTGGAAAGTCTCTATGGAATTCAGAAACAGATTAGAGTTGGCGTAAGAGTTGTTTCATGTGCATAGAAGCTGCTAAAGGGAGAGCTCCTGTTCCTAGATTCTATATATAGACCAGTGTGGAATCAGTAACTCAGTGAGGCCTACCCACATTCAGGCAGAATCAGGATAAGTGCAACCCCTGTGCCCCCAAATTGGGGGCAGTTTCATCATCTGTGACTACTTACTTGGGGCAGATAAAAGCAAAACATCATTTGTCTGTTTTATAATAGGATATTTTAGTACTCTTAGAGCCAGCTTGGTCTAGTGGTTAAGGCATCAGCCTCAACCATGAAAGCCAGCCGGGTGACCTTGGGCCAATCACTCTCTCTCAGCCCAACTTACCTCACAGGGTTGTTGTTATGGGAAAAATAGGAGGAAGGTGTGCTGAGTATGGTCATTGCCTGGAATCATTATTTTTTAAACAATAAAGGCAGCATGTAAATAAATTATATACTTCTGTTGGGTTCTCATATTATTCTCCCCATCCCTATTTTCAGACACTGCCAGAAAAAATCAACTGCAAGCTTTCTTCCCTAATTTTAAACTAATCCTCCTAGACTTTTAATTCCTGATTAATGAGTAGATTGCAGCTATGGAAAGGAAGGCCTAGCAACCCTATTGGTGCACTAGTTGTGCCTTTTCCTAATCTGGGAGGCCCTTTAATCATGTCCTATCAATCTCATAGCTTGACTGATGCAACATGCTCTAACTAGAGTTGACTTTGAAGACCACCTGAAAACTTCAAATGGTCCAAAATGCAGTAGCATGGGCAATAATGGGCATCCCTGATAAACTGCACTGGTTAGCAGTATGCTGCTGAGTGCAATTTAAGGTGCTGGTTATGACCTATAAAGCCTGCATCGTATAGGCCCATATTATCTGAGGGACCATCTATCTTCTGTAGTGTCTTGCCCAGCAGGCAAAAGCCAATAGGGTTAGTTCAGCCTGGTCTCTTCAATTAAACAGTGTCAAGTATCAGACTCAGGAATCACGCCAGCCTTCTTGAAAGGGGTACCAACCAGAGACCCATTTGGCTTTCATTCTGTGCATTCCAGAAATCCTTAAAGAAATGGTAGGTTTACAGGAGTCCCTGTTGAATATGTTTATCAGTTTTGTTAGCTGATCCTGACATTTTCCTCTTTATTTCCTTTCCTTTTTAATTTATTTCCTATACTTTCTACCTGTTTGGTTTTATTGCCACCTAGACACACTGGAGTTGGGGTGGTCCTAAATTGAGTAAATAAATAATCTCATTTTTTAAAAATCAACACAATGGAGTGTTGGAAAGAAACTATATAAAATAATGCAGGACTCTGTTCATCAGTTTCATTATCAAGGTAATTGTTTGCAAACTGAACCACATTTTCCAACACTGGAAAGCTAGTAAATTAAATAATTTTTATTTTTACAGATGGTCAGTAGTTCACACCATAGTAAACTTCTTCATTGTAAGCTTCTTTACTTCCCCATTATGTTGTCCAAAGCAGAAGTACCTTTAAAGGGTTGCAAAGAATTCCAGGCTACATGGTTTTGTTAGCTTTTACTCCTTCCAACAGAAAGGAACGAAGGAAGGAAGGAAGGAAGGAAGGAAGGAAGGAAGGAAGGAAGGAAAATCCTCAATACATAATAACAAGGCAGTAGAGAAACAGCATGAAATATTACTGACACCCCTACTCTAAAACCTGTACTATGATGGAGCTTCCCTATGCATACAATAGATAAAAATATACAGATGCACCAAGGAAGAGCAGAAATATACTGCAATTTGCTGAAATGAGGAATGGTAGTTTGCAAAATATTGGTCAGAATATCTGTATATATCTGGATCAGGCAAACATGTAGCATATTTCCCCTTTCCATTAAGAGGCAGTTTAAAAAAAGATCAGAAGAAACAAAGTGGACCTGCATTTGCTGAAAGTTGAAGACCTAAAAGCAGGCCTGTCAAACTGGCGGCCCGGATGTGTCATGCATAGGCCACGCCCATCTAGGCTCCACAAAGGCAAAAATGTCACAATATGTCACGATATTCATGTGACACGATCGAGTTTGACACCTGTGACATACCCAGTTTTTAAGATGCTGTAACCTAACCATGTTCCTTTAAATCAATTTAAAAGCAGGGTTGTCAAA